TGTGAGAAAGTAGCTGCCATGAATTTTCAGGGAGTTCTTGGGGGTGGGAGGTTCCTTAGGACCAGTTGCCTGCAAATTCAGATACTGGAATGTCTAAATTCCCAAGTCACCCTTTCCGTATCCATCCTGAAATTTCTTACCAAAGGCAGAAAGCCTTGCTTAAACATCTAAGCAAGGTCCTTTCCTCTCTCCCAGTCCAGGGGCTCCAAATGTCCCAGTGGTGGCCTTTGAAGATGGTCACCTGCTTGGACATACTGGGGCAACTTCTCTCTTTCCCATGCAGCCCCACTCTGTCATTGGGTTCCAGAAGTGGGGTACCTTCTGACCTGCCTGGTACAAGTGTAAGGAAGACACACGACATGTTCTTTAACAACCCAGAACATGGCTATAGCCATGGGTGCTCTCATCAGAGGGCACTGGGAAGGGTCTTCCAAAGTCTATCCAGAAAACACAGCAGACACTGGACGTTTCAGTGGCTCTGGGGAAATGGTATAATCACAAGAGGAAGCCACAGTCAGAACCTTAACTCTACAGTGCCCACAAGTGGCTTTTGTGGGATTCAGAAGGGGAAGAGGAAAAGGAACTGAGACTAGATTTCTTCTTCTTTTTTAAGATTTATTTATTTGCCAGGCAGTGGTGGCGCACACCTTTAATCCTAGCACTCCGGAGGCAGAAGCAGGCAGATCTCTGAGTTCAAGGCCAGCTTGGTCTACAGAGCGAGTTCCAGGAGAGGCTCCAAAACTATAGAGAAACCCTGTCTCAAAAAAGAAACAAAACCAAACCCCAAAACACATTATGTAAACAGTGTTCTGTCTGCATGTATGCCTGTAGACCAGAAGAGGGCACCAGATCTCATTACAGATTATTGTGAGCCACTATGTGGTTTCTGGGTGTTGAACTCAGGGCCTCTGGAAGAGCAGCCAGTGCTCTTAACCACGGAGCCATTTCTCCAGCCATGACGAGATTTTTTTTTTTTCTAATGGCAGCTCTTAAGTAGTCAAAGCCCATTGTAACATGCACCCATCTCATCCATATAGTGAACTTACAAATTAAATTAATAAGAAAGAGACCCTGATCCCAGTGGTGGTGGTGCAAACCTTTAGTCCCAGCACTCAGGAAGCAGTAGCAGGCAGATCTCTGTGATCTGTGTAGGCCAGCCTGGTCTACAGAGTGAGTACCAGGACAGCCAGGGCTACACAGAGAAATCCTGTTTTGAAAAAAACAAAAACAAAAGAAAGCAAGAAAGCAAAAAAGGGAAGGAAGGAAGAGAGACTGAACCAACAAGATGGTTCAGCAAGTAAAGACACTTGCTTCCAAACTTGATGACAAACAGGATTCACGTTGTAAAAGAGAAACAATTCATACACCTGTCCTTTGAATTCTGTAAGCATGCCGTAGCATGCACACTCACACATACGTACACACAATAAATAAATAAATAAATGTAATTTTAGAAGATATTCTGTGTTTAGAAATAGCTGTGTTTCCCAGTATGTGTCTGTCATCTCTGAGCCAAGGAACCCTGTGAGGTCACTGTAAGGGAATGCTTCTATTGGATACAACTCCCGACTGACACCAGCTGTCAATCATATTTTAAAATCATGATTGTTTTGAGGAGTGAGTGTGCCAACACAACACCACAAGAACAAGATGGAGTCGGAGCTGAGCCTGGCTGCTACAGGGGCCACCCCTGCTCTCCCAAAAAGGAACCTCTCTAAGTCCTACGGATTGGGGCTTTCCAACTGGTCAGCTACTGCTGATAGAATCTGTTCTAAAGTCTGAATCAAATTCTGTCTTGAGGCTCAGTGCTTAAGGAATTCCTGAAACGGAACTGCCTGACAGGGACTTGCCCCATAGCTCTGTGGATTTGTTCCTGGTCACCACTAGACAGCTGGTTATTCCCAGCTCCAGGGAATGAGGAAATACCCTGATTGATCCTGTCTCCTTAAGACCCAAACAGCACTGGGGATGCCATGTGCTAAAGAGGACACATGCCTCTGCTCAGGTTCGTGTGGGGGCCTCCAGGCTAATCTCTACAAAGATATCTGCTTTCCACAGCTCAGGGAGAAATACAAGAGTAACATCATTTGTGGTGACATCATCCCTCCATCTCCTGCCCAGGGAGGATGAGTCGGTCAGAATGTAAGATGCTGGAGGAAACAGAAACTTGAGGATTTTGCAGGAGTGGATGGGAGGAAAGGGGTATACTGGAATATCATATGAAGATGAATCTGCCTGCATAGGTTCTGGGGATCAATGTTGTATATCCCAGAAAAGCACACCTAGCTCTGGCATAGCAGATCTGATCTTAGGCCAGAACTTCTTAGTTTGAATGTTAGGGAATTGAGGGAACTTGTAAGGCATCAAAAGTAAGATGGTGCTTGTGACAGTCACTAGATGGAGCTTCCAGCAACAAACAGGGATGGGAATCCTTCAGAATGATTCCATTTTTTTTTAAAGCAAAGAACAGACATAAAAATGGGACCCCTATGGGAAGCTGGTTGGTGTATGTATCACCTATTACTGTATAACATATTACCCCAAGGAGCAACTAAAAACACCATTGTTATCTTAAATTTCCATAAGTACAGGTCCGGTTGCTGAGTGTCTATGACTTAAGCTGCAGAGAGAATGTCAAGAGTCTCGGGTCCTCCTGAGGGTGCCCTGGTGTTAAGGGTCCCTTCCAAGAAGGACTGATTCCACTCATGCTAGCAGGACATGGGCCACCAGTGAGCTGCTTGATGCTAACTCCCCCAGAGTGAGCCATCAGAACAGGATGGGAAAGAAGATGCTTGAACCCATTTCAGGAGTCACTCACTTCCATTTGCCAGAACTGAGTCAGTAAGAATAGAGCACACTCAATGGAGTGTCAAAATTTTGTGGTCCTATTTTATTTTATTCTTTCTTAGACAAAGTTTCATTGTATAGCTCTTGCAGACCTGGAAATCATACCAGAGTTAGTCTTCAATTCATAGAGATCCACCTGCCTCAGCCTCCCAAGTGCTGGGATTAAAGGCGTGTACCACTACTGCCTGGCTGTGTTGCAGGGTATTAGAGAAGACTCCTTGGACATAGGCTGAAGCTAATAGAAAGTCTTTATTACCTGGTTGGCGACTACACTGGGTGTTTGGGAACCCAGTATAGCCCTGAGCCTTCTTTAGGGTTAGCTTTCAAGCACCAAAAAAAAAAAAAAAAAAAACACATTTTGGGTTGACAAAAATCAGTCAACAAGAATGGTTGGCCAGAAGTGAACTACAAAAGCCTAAAGCAAGGTTAGTACATTCAGAAACTTTCCCGGAGCTATGGATTCTGATGGATTAGGCCCTTGTTTTTGTTTTGGCAAGTGGTGTTGTCTGTGTGCTGAGTTCATGGCCTGGGTGGTGCTTCCATCATGGAGTCAGTCATGCTAAGGTCTGAGCTGTTAGAGGGTTCCTGTTCTCTCCTCCCACCGTGTGGGTCCCAGGGATCAGACTCAGGCCGCTTTTTTGTCTGTTATGTTTTGTTGAGACAGGGTCTCACAATGTACTCCAGGCAGGCCTGGAACTTCTAATCTTCCTTGGGGCCCCTGATGGAATAAAAAGGAGAAAGCAAACTGAGCATCAGCATCTGTCATTCTCCACTCCCTAAATCTGGACGCAGCGTGACCTGCTGTCTCGTGTTTTTGCCACCATGACAATGGATTGCACCTACGAACTGAGCCAAAATAACCCTCCCTTCTTCAGTTGCTTCTGCCACATATTTTCTCGCAACAATGAGGGAAGTAACGGATACAGTAGTTATCCTTAAATGCTGAAGACATTTGCTGATAGTCGGACAGTCATATCACACAGAGCATTGCTTTTTTGGGGGGGGATTTCTTTTTTTTTTAAAGACATGAAATTATCTTCCTTTTTTTTAAAAAAAATTTATTTATTTATTATGTATACAATACTCTGTCTGTGTGTATGCCTGAAGGCCAGAATAGGGCGCCGGACCTCTTTACAGATGGGTGTGAGCCACCATGTGGTTGCTGGGAATTGAACTCAGGACCTTTGGAAGAACAGGCAATGCTCTTAACCACTGAGCCATCTCTCCAGCCCGCAAACCTTATTTTAAAATGTAAATCATATCATTAATTGACAGTGCTGGGAGTGGAACCAGACACTCATGCTTGTAAGAACATCCAACTACTGAGCTGCTACATTCTCCCTCCAAAACTCAAATTCATATAAATAGTAAATAAAATTAGTATCTCATATTGGGCATGCTTGTAACCCCAGAACCGGGAAGGATGAGACAGGAGGTAGTTATTAGTTTAAGGAGAGCCTGAAAAACATAGCAAAACCCGATTTCAAAAGACAAACATTCATATACACAAACAGACACACACATATGCACCATATATACTGAAATGTGGACTTGTACTGTGGCTGGATAACATANGAAGAACAGGCAATGCTCTTAACCACTGAGCCATCTCTCCAGCCCTTGTGGGGGTTTTTCGAGACAGGGTTTCTCTGTGGTTTTGGAGCCTGTCCTGGAACTAGCTCTTGTAGACCAGGCTGGTCTCGAACTCACAGAGATCCTCCTGCCTCTACCTCCCGAGTGCTGGGATTAAAGGCGTGCACCACCACCGCCCAGCTGAGCCTGCTTTATAATACAGTGTTGGATGGGCATCTTCGAGATGTCTCAATGAGCCAGGTGTGAGGGTGCACACCTTTAATCCCAGCACTCTGGGAGGCAGAGGCAGACGGATGGATCTCTGTGGGTTCAAAGGCAGCCTGGTCTACAAAGCGAGTTCCAGGATAGCCAGGGCTGTTATACAGAGAAACCCTGTCTCGAAAAACAAAACAAAAAAAGACCTCTCAATGGATAAATGTACTTGCCACACATGGAAGCAATCCTGATGACTTCAGTTCAGTCCCTGGAGCCCACGTAAAAAAGTGAAAGGAAGTTTTCCTGTGTTACATGTCACACAATCACACAATCACACACACACACACACAAAGAAAAGCAAAGCACCGGATGTCTTAATTTATTATGTATAGACAAACAGAACCAACAAATATAATTGAACATAGAATGGGGGACTTACTAGATTGACATACAGGATGTGGTTTAGGTAACCCAACAATGGCTGCCCTAACACTGGAGAAACAATGAACTGTTAGCTGCTCCATCTACTCGGCTGGGAGCCTCAGTAGTCCCAGAAGATTCTTGGAGAGCCACTGGTCTTCAGTTCAGGCTGGAAGGCTGAAGAAGCTGGGTTCTGATGTCAGCAGCAGTAACAATGAGAGTGAACTTGTCCACAGGGAAGATGAACTCACCAACAGGACAAAGAAGCAAACCAGCAAAATAAAAGCAAACGTTTCCCACTCAGTCCTCTTTTTGTGGCTGGTGCTAGAAGCTGCTGCCTACAATCAAGTGGGTCTTCCCACTTCAGCTAATGTAATTAAAATCCCTTGGGCTAGAGCAATGGCTCAGTAGGTAAGAACACTTGCTATTGTTCTTCAGAGGCAGGTGCTTGGTTCTAAGCACCCACAGGTCAGGAAGTTCACAAATGTCTTTAACTCCAGATCCTCTGATACCTCTTCTGGCTTCTGTAGGCACCTGCACTCACACACACATACCTACATGTAGACACACACCTACACAACACACACCTACACATAATTTTAAAAAATATATTTTTTGAGATAGGGTTTCTCTGTGTAGCCCTGGCTGTCCTGGAATATTCTCTCTCTCTCTCTCTCTCTCTCTCTCTCTCTCTCTCTCTCTCTCTCTCTCTCTCTCTCTCTCTCTCTCTACTAGGTTGGCCTTGAACTCAGAGTTCAGGCTGCCTTTGTCCTCTGAGTGTTGAGATTAAAGGTGTGTGTCACCACTGCCCGGCAATAAAGAAATAAGATATTTTTTAAAGGGGAAAATCCTTCACAGCCATGGCCAGACGTTAGTTTTATCTAGATAATACCTAACAGGTGTACCCAGAGGCTTGTCTTTTAGTTGATTCCAGATAGAATCAAGCTGACAAGTAGGATTAACCATCACACTACTGACGGCACAGCAGGTGTGCAGTGAGTGTTCAGGACCACAGAACACATAACCAGCTGTCCCAAGACGTGAGAGTGTAGCATATCACACCTCACTAGCCTGGGAGAAGACCAAAATTCAGAGGCTAAGGGTACAAGGGCACAGCCTGGTAGTGCAGTAAGTGCTTAGCATGCATGAAGCCTTGGGTTCAATCCCCAGCACTGTAGAAAATGAAACAAAAATTACTGAAAATCCGAACTCCATAATATCACTTTTATATAGGATAAAGCCATAAGTTGCGTTGTAATAAGACTGGGGGACTGGAGAGATGGTTCAGTGGTTAAGAGCACTGGCCGCTCTTCCAGAGGACTGGGGTTCAAATCCCAGAACCCACGTGGCAGCTCACAGTTGTCTGTAATTCCAGTTCCAGAGGATTTGATGTCCTCCTGTGCTCTGTAGATCCTGAACATATACAGGGCACATAATCCACACAGCATGAACAGACACACATATAAATAAAACAAATACATTAAAAAAACAAGACTGTACCGAATGCCAGTCGGGCAAGGCCTGGAGGTTAAACACAAGACACAGAGAGACCAGGGTAATTCAATAGGAGATCAAGCGAATGCCTTTATTCAGACTTGGGAAGGTCCTTTTCTACCTAACTGCAGCACTAGGACCCCCGCCCAGGCAGGTGGGAAATTACCATATCAACAATGGAATGAATACAGGAACTTAACCAGATGGGGCAGAACGCTAGTCATCTGACTAGAAACTGTACGCGCCCTAGGAATAAGGGCTGAATGCTTAGTCATGTTGACCAGAAATTGTCCTCGAGATGCGCCCCAGGAATAAGGGCAGACCAGGGCCCTACACTCCAAGGCTTTTTTTGAATAACACCTAACTATACTTTTTTTTAAACAACCAGTCTTTCCTACTTCTGTGCCTCCCCCCAGCTATGTACTCTGACCCTCTCCTGGACTCCTACCATCTCATCTACTTCAAACCCGAGTAACTGGCTCTGATGTTCATTAAATACGTTTTTGATGACCTCTATGTAGCTTGGTGGTAGAGCAACCAAGTAAGTGTGTTGTGGGAACTCACTCCTCCAGTCAATAATAACCTTTAGGATACCAGTCCACTTTGGGCATGGTCGCATGTACTGCAAGTGCAGACAAAAAGTATGCACGGCCCCTTTTCCTGCTGGATTTGGTTTCCGGTTCCCAGTTCCTAGGGCATGCAGAGGACTATGGATTGCTACCGTTAATGTGAGTTTATCCCCAAATAAATAAACCTTTGTCATACTCCATTCTGGGCTATTGTGGAACTCTTTAATACTACCACATAAGTGCTCAAAATGCAGTGGGTTCAGTCCCTGGCGTCTGTGTGTACACAGACATGGAGGTTATTAAAATACTTGTAACTTTTTATTATAAGCTAAAATACACAGAACAGTGATTCCACATATTATTATTTTTTTTTTTTTTGATTTTTCGAGACAGGGTTTCTCTGTAGCTTTGGAGACTGTCCTGGAACTAGCTCTTGTAGACCAGGCTGGTCTCAAACTCACAGAGATCCGCCTGCCTCTGCCTCCCAAGTGCTGGGACTAAAGGCATGTGCCATTACCACCTGGCTCCATGTATCATTTACCCAGCTTCCCCTAATGCAAACATCTCATCATAACCACAGTCCAACTACTGATACCAGAAATTATCACTGGCACAGTATTAACCAAAGCAAAGACCTTATGCAAATTTCACCAATGTTGCAAGAATCTTTCTCCCTCTCTTTGTTTTTTTGAGACAGGGTTTCTCTGTGTAACCCTGGTTGGCTGTCCTGGAACTAGCTCTTAGATCAGGCTAGCTTCAGATTTAGAGATCTGCCTGCCTCTGCCTCCAAGTGCTGGGATTAAAGGCGTGTGCTACCATTGCCTGGCTGCAAGGATCTCTTGATGCCTTTTGCTTCCTGTCTCTAAAACCTCCCAGTTCTTCATTATTTTTTCCCCTATTTTAAAATTTATTTTACATACTGACCAGTTTCCTCTCTCCTTCGCCCACTCCCTTCTGAACACCCCCCTCCACCATTTCCATTCAGAAAGGGCAGGGCTTCCATGGGAGTCAACACACCATGGGACATCAAGATGAGGCAGGACCAAGTTCCTCCCCCTGTATCAATGTTGGGCAAGGCAACCCAGCTTAAAGATTGGGTTCCCAAAAGCCAGTTCAAGAGCCATGGACAGATCCGGATCCCACTGCTAGGAGCCCTACAAACAGACCAAGCTACACAACCTTCACACCTCATTTTGTCTTTTATGACCTTGTATATCTTTAAAGAGCATCAATCAGCTATATTGCTGATTTCACCACTGAGTTTGTCTGATGTTTTCTCAAAGATGGCTCAGGGTGGACATTCCTGGCAACAGAACCACAGAAATGGCTGTTTTGTTCAATGGCCTATTACTAGAACAAAGTCTGTCTGTTTGCCATCTAAAAGCCAAAACATTCAGGAAGAGAGATTAGTGGGAAGGGAATCATTCAAAGGCTGGCACCCTTGGAGGACCTGAGCGGATGGGAGGAGATATTACAGGACAGGACACCGGGCAGAAAGGCTAGATTCTGAGCAGTCTTCATCCAGTGTGTCCACCCTTTCCTTTATTGTCTGGTTAGAAGGTCACAGTAGACCTAAACTACATTTCCTGAGTCTAGTTTCTTTAGACAAACATTCTGCAAGCCAAGCATTATATTACACATTCCTATATACTTGCTAAAGCTCACCAGATGTGCTGAGTTTTGTTAAGTCTACAGAAAGATTTGGCAATCAACACTCTATTAGGTGCAGTTTGTTCAGAATTTAGAAGTTAGTCAAAAGTAGAAGCAGCTCTACAAGGGACAACTCATGAAGGAGTGGACATTGTTTCAAGATCACTTCACTCATTCCTATAATTTTTAAAACGTATTTTATTGAGCCGGGCATGGTGGCACATGCCTTTAATCCCAGTACTCTGGAGGCAGAGGCAAATGGGTCTCTGTCACAAGCCCACAAGATTATACAGCAAAGGTACAGCTGCCAGACCAATAGACAGATCCACGGGAAGTATACAGACACTCCATATGGAGAACCCAATTGCTGAGCTTCTGGAACACTTGTCCTTTTCATAATCACTGCCAATTCTGTAAAAGTCTTGTGGAATCGTGATGTTTCTCCCTTCCATAATAATCCAGCAATGTATAAATCATTCGTTGAGATAACCTGACTTTTTCTGTATGAGCAACTGGATACCGTACTTCCCCAAACCATGAAGCCCTGGTGTTAAAGCATTCACTCAGCCAAACCTTTGTTCTAAAAGTCAAATCTACGTGAGTTAGTTCCCCACAACTACCCTTATTGACAGGCCTGACAAGAAAGGAGCCCCAAGCAGGAGGCACTGACCAGACAGTATGTCTGCTCTTACTAACAGGTCTGGGTGGCCCTGAATTTAGCAGCAAGCTCAGGAAGGTGCAATCTACTGGTCTTTTGCTCCATCCTAACAAGCTATTAATATTCTGTATTTACCCTTCAACTTGGTTTCAATTAACATAAGATCACAGCCCAAGAGATTAACTGTTTATGCCTTTTCCCCTAGAGATACCAGAAAGAAGCTTGAGCCGCTAAACCAGCCGCAGAAAGAAATCAGCTTTCACCTGGGTGCTGGCAGGCACCCTGCTGGAGTTGGAAGCAAACTCAGCTAGCTAGGGCTGATGAAAATCAGGCACCTTGCCTTCCTCCCAAGACTTCAGGTTGCTATGATTACCAACCACTGGGAGAGGAAGCGGAACCACTCAGAAGGTGCCAACAGCGTTGCTGCATTTTTCTACAATTATTATTAACTATAAACTTTTAGTTACACTTAAGAAATGCAGTTAGTGCTGGGCGATGGTGGCGCACGCCTTTAATCCTAGCATTCGGGAGGCAGAAGCAGGCGGATCTCTGTGAGTTCGAGACCAGCCTGGTCTACAGAGCTAGTGCCAGGACAGGCTCCAAAGCCACAGAGAAACCCTGTCTCGAAAAACCAAAACCAAAAAAAAAAAAAAAAAAAAAATGTAGTTAGTGCATGAAAACTTCTTAAACTCTGTAGTGATTTAAAGGCCCATTCTTAATTCTCCCGATATCTGCTGGGGAGCTTCACAGCCACACCCTCTGAGATGGAAGAGGCCTCCCTTACCTGCGTTTGTGATTCTGTGAAATGCAAGCTTGATACTATCGTTACTGCCCGTGGAATCCCTAACTTCTGTGTGTATAAATACTGAAGCCTTGTCGGGAACAGCCCTCTTTTCTTCCTTGCCCAAGGAATAAAGAAACATGCAGAGGAAACGTGAGTCAGTTTGTTCTACTTCTCAGATTCCTTCTCCCAGCCTGTTTTCGCTTGCCATAGAATAGACATCCTGTTCTGGACCCTGAAGGGGGGCTGGGGTTGGTACTCAGTAGCTCCCGTTAGGTCTCAGTGAGTTCGAGGCCAGCCTGGTCTACAGAACAAGTTCCAAGAGAGCTAGGGCTTTTACACAGACAAAGTCTGCCTAAAGATCAGAGTGCAGAGCTAGCGGCACTAGTTAGCCATAGAGGCCAGGCAGTGGTGGTGCACACCTTTAATCCCAGCACTTGTGAGGCAGAGGCAGACCCTGGGCGACACAGATTTATCCAGTCTAAAAGAGAAACAGAGCCAGGTGGTGGTGGCTCACACCTTTAATACTAGTTCTTAAGAGTCACAGGCCTTTAATCCCTGCACTAGGGAGGTGGAGGCAGGAAGACAGGAGCTCAGAGCATTCAGTCTGAGGATCCATGCAGACACAATCTTGCCCACTTTGATCTGAAGGTCTCTCTAGTGGCTGGCTCCTTTGCTTCTCTGATCTTTCAGAATTTACACCTGTATCAGACTCAGGCTTTTTATTATTAAGACCAATTATTGTGCCAGGTGGTGGTGGTGCACACCTTTAATCCCAGCACTCGGGAGGCAGAGGCAGGTGGATCTCTGTGAGTCTGAGGCCAGCCTGGTCGACAAGAGCTAGTTCCAGGACAGGCTCTAAAGCTACAGAGAAACCCTGTCTTGAAAACAAACAAACAAAAGACCACTTACTATCTTTCCTTTTGTGGTTTATAAGTTTCGGAAAGGCAGAATTATCACCCAACAAGAGGTCCATGCTTTCATCCATGGATTATATGAATATGCTTGGTTCTGCACAAGAGGGATTAAAGAAGTAGATAGTAAAAGGTTACCAGATGTCTTAGGGGTCCTACTGCTATGAGAAAACACTATGACCACAAGCAACTTGAGGAGGAAAGGGTTTATTTTAGCTTTCAACTCTCAGGTCACAGTCCATCACTGAGGGGAGTTAGGGCAGGAGCTCAAGACAACTGAAACAGAGCCATGAAGAGATTCTGCTTATTGGCTTGTTCAGTCTGTTTTCTTATATACCTAAGGCCTACCAACCCCCCTTCCATCCTATGACATAGCATCACACCCCCCTTCCATCCTATGGGATGGATCCATCTCAGTCATTAATCAAATAAATGCACTAGCCTACAGGCAAATCTTACACAGGGATTTCTCAATCGAGTCCCTCTTCTCAAATGACTTTAGCTATGCTGACACAAAATCAACCAAGGTACCAGGTCACTGCCCCTTCCCTCAAGGTTTCTCTGTTTAACAGTCCTGGCTGTCCTGGAACTCGCTCTATAGTCCAGGCTGGCCACCCAGGACACTGTCTTTTAAAGTGGAGGTCTTTGGCTTTATTCAGATGGGCCCAAGATACTCACTAATAGGAGTCTTTAAAAGTGGGTAAGGGGGCTGGAGAGATGGCTCAGTGGTTAAGAGCATTGCCTGCTCTTCCAAAGGTCCTGAGTTCAATTCCCAGCAACCACATGGTGGCTCACAACCATCTGTAATGAGGTCTGGCACCCTCTTCTGGTCTGCAGACATACACACAGATAGAATATTGTATACATAATAAATAAATAAATATTTAAAAGAAAAAAATAAAAGTGGGTAAGGGAGCAGGACAGTTAAACTAATGCCTTTAATCCTAGCACTCAGGAGGCAAAAGCAGGGCACTCAGGAGGCAAAAGCAGGCAGGCAGATTTCTGTGACATCAAGGCCAGCCTGGTCCACAGACCAACTTGCAGGACAGTCAGGGCTACACGGAGAAATCCTATCTCAAAACACAAAAGCCAAAACAACAACAAGAAAAGGTAGGTAAGAGAGACAGGAAAGCGGGCTTCAAGGATGAAGGGTCCAAACCAAGTCCCTCTGGAAGCCATGGGAGGCGGAAAATGGTTCCCTCTGCTTCCTCTAAAAGGAACCAATCCTGTAACTCGGGCTTCAGCTCATTGAACTTGGGTTGGGCTTCATTTCTGGCCTTCAGAGGAAGGAGTAAGATAATAAACTCCTCGCCTTTAATCCCAGCACTCGAGAGGCAGTGGCAGGCGGATCTCTGTGAGTTCGAGACCAGCCTGGTCTAGAGGAGCTAGTTCCAGGAAAGGAACCAAAACCACAGAGAAACCTTGTCTCGAAAAACCAAAAAAAACAAAAAAAAAAAGAGAGAATAAACTCCTGTTTGCTGGGGGCTTTGTTATGTAGCCCAAATTGCCACTTATCTCTCAATCCTTGCTTCCTCTGTCTCCTACAGGTGTGTGACACACCTGACCTAAAAGTTGAATTTTTTAAAATATTTATTTATTTATTATGTATACAATATTCTGTCTGTATGCCTGAAGGCCAGAAGAGGGTGCCAGACCTCTTTACAGATGGTTGTGAGCCACCATGTGGTTGCTGGGAATTGAACTCAGGACCTTTGGAAGAGCAGGCAATGCTCTTAACCACTGAGCCATCTCTCCAGCCCC